TTTTGACAACTCACAGTTAAGCCGATCTTTTCTTTTTCTTTTCCACTTTTGCGGATGGTCGCTTTATCACTCGGTGACGTCTGGTGGCTCCGCTAAACCCCGTTCGGGGTCGCTCACGCAGCAAGGTCCATTGGGGCAGGGCATGGCGGGAGCCTCGCTCTCCGACCTCTCGGCCGAAAGAGCGACTCCCCCCTAGTGCGCCCTAAAGCGCCCCGGATCCGAGCTCCTCTCTTCTGAGGGGCTCGTTCGGGTCTCCGCTCGCGCGGATTCCCTCCTCCACCGCGGGCGGGCGAGGTGCCCTCGGGAGCGACCCGAGGAAGCGTCCGCCATGCGCGGGAGCCAGACCGGAAGCCCAGATTCCACTCTTTTAATGTTGTTTTGGCACAGCATGGAGACATTGCAGATAACTTGATTAGTGGAAGCAGCAACCCAATGTGTATCATTGGAGTCCCATGCTATCTCAGTTGATGGCTCTTTCTTGGTGGAATGTCTGTTGGGTGAGCCACGCATAGTGGAAGGTATTTCTCATTCCAGATCCCACTGAAGTATAGTGAGAACAAACGTGCTGTATGAATCTTCTACTTTTTTTCCATAACAAATTGAGTTCTATATGAGTAATTTGTGTGACATGCTGTAGGAACAAAGTTGTGGGTGTGGCTTATGTGGGCCAGTGGGAAGGGATAAATTGAGGGAAATCAAGGTGTGAGGCTTGTTGATTTTTTCCCCAAGGGATCTCGTCCTTTCTCCCCCCACCATTAATTCAAGCACCTTGTCCACTTCTGCCACTCATAGATTTCATCTCAGCAACCTAGAAGAACTGTTTGTAAAATCAAGCAGAAATGAAACAGCAGAGCAATAACGTACATTGCTTGATTACAAAGGCTACAGAAGAATCATAGTCAGCAACTCTTGTTTCTGCTGTGCTGCCAAGTGGGCAAAATTACCAGAGACATAATAGCCTCACAGGATGCTGCGGTCAATAACTGTTTTTTACAAAGCTCTGTAATATCTTTGCTGGATAAGTGGGCACAACCTAGTGCTCTCTTGCAGCTTGATTAAAACACTACATATAAACTTGAGAATTTGCCACGTGATTATTACAATACCATGAATTTAAAAATGACTGACCTCCCTCAATAGGTATTTTCCCAACAGGCTAGCCCCATAAATGCTTTGTATGAACTTGCCTTAAACCAAGACTTTACTAATTCAAAATGGGTAGTATTAAGATTTAAATGTAAGGCAGTCTAACAGCATTATCTTATAAATATAATTCTCCTAACGCATTGGCCATTTCCAGCTCTCCCATTGGCTGTGCTGTGCGCTCCATTAGCCATTGGCCCATCAACCACCACTCAAGAGTAATTGCGTGCCACTGGCTGGGTGCTGGGTCTGCTCCTCTTCCCCACCCACAGCCACTGTTTCCTGTCAGAATAACTGCCAAAACAGCTGTCTCTCCTGATGAAGACACTTCTGCTTCTCTCAGTGGCTGTTGCTAGGCAACCAAGCTTAGGTCTGTCAGTTAAAAGACAAAGGAAAGAAGCCCTTTCCAGGCCTTTGTGGGGAACTCATTGGAGCCAGTCCTGACTAGGGTTGCCAGCTCCAGGTTGGGAAATTCCTGGAGAATTTGTGCTGATGTCTACGGAAGCCAGGGTTTGGGAAGGGGAGAGGTCTCAGCTGAATAGAATGCCATAGAGTCCATCCTCCAAAGCACTTATTTTCTCCAGGGGAAGAGAGAGATCTGTTGTCTGGAGTTCAGTTGTGATACCAGACGATACCACAGCCAGCGTGGCGTACCAATTAGCACTTCAGAGCAGGGTCTGCCAGACCCAGGTTCTTGCTGTGGAAGCTGAGTGGGTGATTTCGGACCAGTCACAGACTTTTAGCCTAACCTATCTCACAGGGTTGTTGTGCAGATCAAAAGGGGGAAGAGGAGAATTATGTAAGCTGCTTTGGTCTCCACTACAGAGAAAGACTACTTTTCCTCCTGGGGATTCCAGGTGAGGGATGGAGATCATTCAGAATTACAACTGCTCTCCAAATGGCAGAGATCAGTTCCCCTGGAGAAAATGGTGGATTCTGTGTCCTTATACCCTGCTGAGATGGTCCCCCTATGACAGCCAGTGTAATGTAGCAGTCAGGGCTTCAGAGCAGGGTAGAGGCTGCAGGTGGTGGTGGGGAGATGGAAAGCTGAAGTCAGAGAGGCAGATAAAGGTAGGTTGATGATTGACTTGGAAGGAGAAAGGGTTGACCACTCCAGGTTCGGAAATTCCTGGAGATTTGAGGGGTGGAGCTTGGAGAGGGTGAGGTTTGAGGAGGGGTGGGACCTCAGACAGCTACAATGCCATAGACTCCACCCTCCAAACCAGCCATTTCCTCCTGGGGAACCATTGTTGCCAATCTCCAGGTGATGGCTGGAGATCACTCAGAATTACAACTGCTCTCCGGGAGGGAGGGGGGAAGAGATGGAAAGATGAAGTCAGAGGGGCAGATAACAGTAGGTTGATGCTTGGGTTGGAAGGAGATAGGGTTGCCAACTGCAAGTTGGGAAATTCCTGGAGATCTGAGGAATGGAGCCTGGAAAGGGTGGTGGTTGAGGAGGGGTGGGACCTCAGACAGGTACAATGCCATGGACTCCACCCTCCAAACCAGCCATTTCCTCCTGGGGAACCATTGTTGCCAATCTCTAGGTGAGGACTGGTGATCACTCAGAATTACAGCTGCTCTTCAGATGGCAGAGATCAGTTCCCCTGGAGGAAACGGTGGACTCTGTGTCATTAGACACTGCTGAGGTCACCACAGGAAATTGACACGAAGTGCCCAAGGCCAAGCCACCCACCCAGAGCCTCTTTCTAGAGCTCGTATTTATTTCCACAACAGGCCTTATTTCTAGTATAATAATAGTATAATATATCTACAATATATTTTCAAGGATATGCTTGTTTAAATGTGACCCCAGACCCAATTCCTTAAAAACACGAATATGTAGTTTGGCCCAGATATAAGTGCTGAGGTTGCATAGGATATAACAAATCGCAGCTTCCTCTTTGGATATTTGAAATTTTGCTTGTTGAAACTAAGGTACTTTTAAATAAATTCAAGTATTGCAGTTTTATATACTAAGTCACAAAGATGCATTTTATGTTAAATTAGGAAAATAAGGCTGAGTTTGATAAGAAAGTAACAGTGCCATCCTAAGCAGAATTAAGCGTAAAGGTAAAGGTTTCCCTTGCTCGAAAGCTAGTTGAATCTGACTCTAGGGGGCAGTGTTCATCTCCATTTCCAAGCCGAAGAGCCAGTGCTATCTGAAGATGTTTCCCTGATCACGTGTTTGGCACGACTAAACGCCGAGGCACACGGAACACTGTTACCTTCCCACCGAAGTGGTGCCTATTTATCTACTTGCAATTTCTTGCTTTCAAACTGCTAGGTTGACAGGAACTGGGTTCAGAGATGGGAGCTCACTCCGTCATGCAGCACTAGGGTCTCAAACTGCCGAACTACAGATCTTCTGGTCTGCAGCTCAGCATCTTAACTTCTAAGCCACTGTGACCCCAAGTAGAATTATACCCTTCTAAACCTATTGATTTAAGATGATTTAGAAGGATGTAAATCTGTTTAGGATTAGCACTAGGTGTTGCATATATTTAAATCCCTCCGTGTGTTTTCCAAAAAAGTGGAGGAAAGCACATTCTCCCCCATACCTTCAAAATTTCCAGAAATCCTACCTTTCTATGAGTGAAGTGGCAATCTAGGGCCAGACCTCTGCTGAGGCATACAAACTTTGGAATTTTCTCCCTGTGGTGGTTCACCTGGTGCTGAGTCTGTTAAATATTAGGCCCCAGGTGACCCCTTTTTATTTTCCCAGTTGTAATTTTTCATCTTCTCCTTTTTGTGATTTTCGTGTATCTGGCTCTGCTTCTTTCTCGGTTTTAATTTGGTTTTCTGCTTTTAATAATAATAATACAACAACAACAACAACAACAACAACATTAGTTTAGTTTATTATTATTACGGTCTTAAGACCAACACCTATTAATACGTTTTTACATTATTTCAGATGTTGGTTTTAAATGTTTTTAGCTGCTGATGTGCTAAGATGTTCTGATGTTTATAAATGTGATGTATGTTTACATGTTGTTGATACATTTTGCAACATTGTGAGCTACCTTGGCCCTCTCGTTTGGAGAAAGTGTGTTAGATAATAAAGATAAATAGCTTTTCTAGGACAACTTTACAAAAAAAATTCATCTTGCCAGTAGGTGTTTGTGGGGGCTCGAAGAGTGGGCCTAGGCTTAAATGAACTGATGCTAACTCTGGATTTGTAGCTAATCTGCAAAACTGCACTAAGAACATGGGGAGTCTTCTAAAACAGCTGGCCGACATATAGCCCAAAGGGAAGAGCTGCAATGTAAGATGGAATTACTATGTCAGTAAGGCTTGATTTATTCAATCAGTTTGCTGACTTGCAGGCTGGGGAATGTATGTGTCATCTTTGGAGGACTGGGAAGTACTGAGTTCATTTTGCTAGCTAGCAGTTAAACACATGGTGAGTAGCATATTTTGGCATCTCCTACCTTTCTGTGCAAGGCAAGCAGCTGCCATTGGGATGTCCTTGCACTATTTAGCAGCACAGTCCTATCAAGAGCTGACAGTTGACAGAACCCACCAGGAGCCTATATTTTTGTTTTGTTTAAATGGTGCATTGTGAGGAGATGTAGTTGATGTCAGACAAAAGGAGGATTAAATGAAAGACTGGAGAAAGGAAGAGTCTTACATAAGAGCAGTGTAATTTAATGAGCAGTGGGGGGTGGGGGCAAGATGCAAAATGACTGTTATCATGCAGGCGGTGCAATAGCAGCAGATGCAACGTGGTGTGGAAGGGAGGATTGGGCTCCCTACAGTAGAACTCAGATGAAATGGCCTTACTCAGTGTAAGTTGCAAACCAGCAGGGAGACCTAAGATTGTGGCCTAATTTCACGCTGTTTCTTTTTGCCAGGTTATAATGAAGCTTCTGGTCACTTATTTCTTTTGGTTCGGCTTGAGTGTCATTGCTGTTCAAGAGGGTATCCATGCAGAGGAATGCATCTTTCAGAAGCTGGATGGGAGGGATGCCGACTTTTGCAGGTGAGCTAGTTACTCTTCAACATTTGGACGGTTTGGGCATTGGAAACGAGCTACCAAAGTACAGCCCCAAAGAATCCTTGCGTGTATTGCACTTCTAGACACTTCTAGAGCATCATGGCCCATGCCACCCAATACTATGGAAAATCAAATATTTTAGTTAAAACGCGAGTGACATAGAATGGTATTGAAAACATAATCTTTGATGGACACACTTCCTCTGAATATCATGGCAGAGTATAATTATCTGAATTTTTATGTCACCTGTTTGAGGGGCACAGCTCACTTTATCTCAAAATAAAAGCTTAATCTCAGTACTCAAGAGGGGTAGCTATATTAGTCTGCTTCAGCCAAATAAGGCAAAGAGGCACCTTAAATTTGTTCGTTTTAAAGGTGCAACAAGATTTTTTTTGTCCTTTTAATCTCAATTCTGACCAGTCTTTAAATACACCACCAGATACTTATGTAACAGCCTGATAATTGTAAAAAAAAAGTGTAGAAGCACCCTTTCATTTTTGTAATTTGTTTATTAATGCCATTTTTGTGGTACTCATTGTTGAGTATATAAGACAGTGGACACCTGTTACAGTATAGTGTTCCTGACCCTACTGTGTCCTCCATACATGGTCTCACATCTGCTGCTCTGCAGCTGCTAAAGGATTGCTTCTCTGACTGGAGGGTGTATGGATGAGACTGATCAATTCGGACTTAGATTAAGTAAAGTAACCTGAAAGATTTAACTCCGCCCAGAGGAGTTTAGGTCATGTTTCCAGTTGCTCTTTAAACTTGTCACTTAGAATGAGCTCACGTTAAAAAGAAGAGCCTTTTTTTGTAGGCTTAATTCATGCACTGCTGTTTGTAATGTGGTAAAGTCCTCGTGATATTATTTTTTTTGTCAGGTCAGTTACATATTGGACTTTCAGGATGCCCTCCGATGCTGAGAGCTGGATTTACTATGCTGGAGAAAACGTTTGAAAAGGAGGTTGTGCTCTGGGGTGGTAAATATCAGCTCTCACTGCTGGCATGTTGAGATATTCTGCCAGTGTGGTATAATGGTTAGTATGATGGGCGCTAGACCAGAGGAGATGGAATCATAGAATCATAGAATGTTAGAGTTGGAAGGGACCTTGAAGGTCATTTTATTTATTTATTTATTTATTTATTCTTCCATTTGTATACCGCTCACCCCCTGAGGGCTCTGAGCTGTTCACATGGGGGGGGGTGACTAACCTACCAGGCACCCTTTGTAGCGAGTTGTTTGGGTTTTTTTTCTGTTGTCTGCGGGCGACGTCCTCCTGGCGCTGGTCTTGATTTACGACTTCCTGGCTGTTGCGACACATCTAGTCCAACCCCCAGCACTCTGCAGGAGCATAGCCAAAAGATAGCCCGACAACACACCCGAAAGATGGTTGTCCAGCCTTCACTTGAAAACGTCCAGCGAAGGAGCATCCACCACCTCCTGAGGCAGTCTGTTCCACTGCTCAACAACTCTTACAGTTAGGAAGTTTCTCCTGATTTTTAGCCGGTAACAACTCCCTTGTAATTTCCACCCATTAGATCTAGTTTTGCAATCCGGAGCAAGAGAGAATAGATCCATTCCATATTCTACATGACAGCCCTTCAGATACTTGAAGACTGCAGTCATGTCCCCTCTGAGCCTTCCCTTTCCCAGACTAAACATACCCAACTCTTTCAGCCTTTCCTCATAAGACTTGGATTCCAACCCTCTCACCATCCTGGTTGCCCTCTTCTGGACACGCTCGAGCTTGTCAACATCCTTCCTAAAATGTGGTGCTCAAAACTGGACACTGTACTCCAGGTGAGGCCTGACCATAGCAGAATAGAGCGGAACTACCACCTCCCGTGATCTGGACACAATGCTTCTGTTAATGTATCCTAAGATTGCATTAGCTTTCTTTGCAGTCACATCACTCTGCAGGCTCATGTTTAGCTTGTGATCAACCAGAACATCTAGATCCCTTTCACATATGCTGCTGTCAAGCCAAGTCCCTCCCATTCTATATCTGTGCCTTTGATTTTTTGTACCTAAGTGTAGGACTTTGCACTTATCACTACTGAAATTCATTTTATTTGTCTCAGCTCACTGCTCCAGCCTATCTAGATCATTTTGAATCCTGACTCTGTCTTCATCAGAATTAGCAATCCCACCCAGCTTCGTGTCATCTGCAAATCTGATAAGCATCCCCTCTATGACTTCCTCCAGGTCATTTATAAAAACATTGAACAACATGGGGCCTAGGACCGAGCCCTGCGGCACTCCCTCGAGACTTCCCTCCACATAGATGCAGAGCCATTTACGAGCACTTGTTGGGTATGATTTTTCAACCAACCATGAATCCATCCAACGGTTGCACCATCCAGCCCACACTTAACCAGTTTATCCACAAGGATATCATGAGAAACTTTGTCAAATACTTTAATGAAATCTAGATACACTATATCCACAGCATTGCCAGAGTCAACCATTTTAGTAACTCTGTTGGTCTGGCATGACTTATTCTTGATAAACCCATGCTTGCTACTACCAATTAACTCATTCCGTTCAAGATGCTCACAGAGCGTTTAATAATCTGCTCTAGAATTTTTCCAGGTATTGATGTCAAACTGACAGGCCTGTAATTTCCCGGGTCCGTCTTTTTCCCCTTCTTGAAGATCGGGACATTCGCTCTTCTCCAGTCTTCTGGCACAACACCAGTACTCCAGGACATCTCAAAGATTAGAGCTAGAGGCTCTGAAATTTCTTTTAGCACCCTGGGATGCAAGCCATCCGGCCCAGGAGATTTGAAAGTATTTAAGGGAGCTAGATGCTCTCTAACCATTTCCTTACTTACTCTGGACTGGCAATTCCTCCTTTCTTCACATGCCCTGCATTCTTCAGTTTGTATACAGCTCAATTTACGGTTAAAGACTGACACAAAGTGAGAGTTGAGTAATTCCGCTTTGTCTTCATCCTTTGTTAAGGCTCGACTGTCTTCCCCTAGGAATGTGCTTACCCCATCCCTGTTCTTCTTTTTGCTCCAAACATAGGCATAGAATCCTTTCTTATTTATTTATTTATTTATTTCTTCAAATTTATACCCCCCCCTCCCCACAAGCGGGCTCAGGGCGGCTTCCAATAAAATACCAGTTACATTACATTAAAATATTGTTATTTTTAGCATCCCTTGCAAGCCTCAGCTCCATCTGTGCTTTAGCCTTTCTGACACCATCCCTACAGATTCGAGCCTGCTTCTTGTACTCACCGTCAGTAATCTGACCCTCCTTCCATTTCGTGTACATTTCCCTTTTTAGTTTCAGCTCTTTAGAGAGTTCCTTGTTCAGCCACCTTGGCTTCATTACCAGTCTCCCTCCTTTCTTTCTTACCGGAACAGTTTGAGATTGTGCCTTAAGCACTTCATTTTTCAGCATCACCCATCCTTCTTATGCAGATTTCCCCCCATAGCATTTCCAGCCACGGAATCCTACCTAATATTTCTCGGAGTTTTTTTGAAATCAGCTTTCCTGAAGTCCAGGATACGATTCCTACTATGTCCTGGTTTCACGTCCTTCTCTATGTCAAATTCCAAGCTGACATGGTCACTATTCCCCAAGGATCCCACAACGTTCACTTCATTAACCAGTTCTTCCCTGTTAGGATTAAATCTAGGATAGCAGATCCTCTGGTTCCCATCTCCACCTTCTGAGAGATGAAGTTGTCTGCAAAACTATTCAAGAATCTGCGGGATGCCCCATGTCTAGCAGAGTTAGATTTCCAGCAAATATCTGTATAGTTGAAATCTCACATAACCATAGCATCCTGTCTCTGTGAAAATTTAGCAAGCTGTTGTACAAATGCATCATCCAGTTCCTCCGGTTGGTTCAGAGGTTTGTAGTATACCCCCAGAACAATATCCCCCCCTTTTCCCCTCGCTCTATCCTTACTCACACACTTTCAACAGGGCAACTCTCAAAATCCTGAATTTCAGTGCAAGTGTATTCATTCGTGACATATAGTGCCACCCCACCTTCTTTTTTGTTTGTTCTGTTTGAACAAGGTATATCCTTTGATCTCTGTGCTCCACATGAGACTCATCCCACCAAGTCTCAGTGATACCTATCAGATCTTACTTACTTCCCAATATTTGAAGTTCAAGTTCATCCTGTTTATTTCCCATACTCTGTGCATTAGTATAAAGACATCTCAGATCACAGACATCCTTCCCTACCATAGGTCCCTTCGAATTCAAATGAAAATCACTGAACTCACCTCTCTCCCATTCATTTATTCTCTGGTCACTCCCCTTCTTGAACTTAGTGTTGGGGGCAATGCTCCCTCTAAGCTGTGGAGTCTTGTGAGCAATAATTCTACTTTGTGAGCAACTGGCATTAAAGTTGTGAGCCAGCGATTTGGATAAATTAGTTTGCTCTGGAGCCATCTGTCCTGAGCTAGGACAAAAATGTGTGAGCCGGAGGCTAAAAAACTGAGAGCTAGCTCACACTAACTCAGCTTAGAGGGAACATTGGTTGGGGGTGCCGCACAACATCAGGCTTTTTCTTCCCACCCTCGATGGCTTCAGTTTAAAGCCCTCCTGATCAGGCTTGCAAGTTTTCCAGCAAAAATATTCCTCCCATTCTTTGTAAGGTGCACCCCATCCATCGCTAACAGTCCTTCATGTCGGAGGTACATACCATGGTCCAAGAAGCCAAATCCCTCTCGACAGCACCATCTACGTAACCAGCCATTCAACACCAGTATCCTGTTCTCCCTTCCAGCTCCATGGCCCTCAACAGGTAAAATGGAGAACACCACCTGTGCCCCCAGACCTTTCACCTTCTTTCCCAGAGCCTTGTAGTCTTTGGAGATCCATTCAAAGTTTCTTCGGGCCATATCGTTTGTTCCCACATGGATCAGCAGGAGCACGTAGCGATCAGAGGTTTGGACCAGTCTTGGAATTCTCTCAGTCACATCTTGCATACACGCTCCAGGAAGACAACAAACCTCTCGAGATTCCTTGTCTGGTCTGCACCCAACTTCTTCAGTCCCTCTCAGTAGGGAGTCACCAACCACCACTACTCGTCTCTTCCTCCATGGGATAGCTTGGTTCCTTCTCTGCCTATGTGTTTGTGTGTCAGTCACATCCTTTTGATCTCAGAGTGTGCTATTCTGATCTTCCATCATCAGAAGCAGCTGGTATCAATTTTGCAGCTCCACTTGGTGTGAGTGTTTCCTGATTATCTTACTTCTCAAGGTCACATTCTTCAACTCATCCACCTGTTCCTTGTTACTTCCTTCCTCTTGCTTAGGATTTGCTAGCTCTTGCCGTTCTCTCAGGAACCCCTCTTCCGTCACATCTAAATACCTTTCTGCCTCCCTGATGTTCCTCAGTGTACAGATTTGTGCCTCGAGTTCTCCCACCTTCTCCTCAAGCATTCTTATAAGCTTGCACTTGCAGCACGTATAATGCATTTTTTGGCATGGCAGAAAAATGATCATGGCAATGCTATCTTCTACAGCCTCAGGAACTTTCCTCAAAGTTCGATGAAAACTCTTGTTGTGGTGATGTACCCTGAAAACTTTGAGACTGACCAAATGGCTACCTTGCCAGCTGTTCTCTCTCCATAACTCAGTAGCAGCCCTCTACTCAGGTTCTTACAAGGCCTTCAAGCAAGGCCCACAGGCTAAGAACCTCTGGTGAGGAGCAGCCCTTTGTTTCAAAAGGCCCCTTCCTGCCCAGCACAGCAGAGCCCAACACAATAGGGGCGGGGCTTGCAATCAACAGCACTCCACAGCAACTCACTCAGCCTCCAACAACTCCGAAATCACAAAGAGCCCCAAACAGACTTAAACAGAACCACTCTCTATCAGGCTACAAAGAACCCAACTCTATCTCAACTCCCACACAGCAGCTAGGAAGGCAAAGGGAAAAAGAAAAATCCCTTACCTTCTGTCAGCAACTCACCATGTGCTCTCTACTCCTTGCCTCTGCCCAGCTGAAGCCAATGGACAGTCAATTCAGAACAGAAAGAAGCAAATACTCCTTTATGCCATGCATAATTAACCTATGCAGCTCACTGCCAGAGATTTGGGGTTTGTTAATTTATTTGGGTTTTAACTGGAAGCATTTTTAACCTGTTAATTGTAAGCCGCCTTGAATCAATAGGAAAGGTGGGGTAAAAATGTTTTAATAAATAAAGAAGGTATAGTGATCACCACTATGCTAGACTACTTTAAAAAGAGATTTGCCAAAATAGTCATGATATAAAATGGACTTGTCTCACGCATGTTGCAGCATTGAACATGATTACATGGAACCAAGTCCCATTGGACCATTGATCTAACACCTCCTGTATCAGTGGGGTATCTGCTTTTAAAAAAAAATTAAAGCCCCAGGTTTGCAGAAAAATCTGGAATAAAAAACAGACAAGTGGGTGGGATCATAATAATAGAATAATAGAAGCAGAACCTGTAGCTTTAAGAAAAAATGCCCTCTGTGGCTGTTGCTAGGCAACTACAAATGTATGGTCAGTAAATAAAAGGTGGGGGAGGGCACAGGGCTCTTTCCTGGGCTGTTTTGAGGGGAGGATTATCATGGCCAGGCCTTGACAGTAACTACTGGGCAACTTGCCACCATGCAAGTTCCATGAGTCATCTAGGCCCAGCTGCTTATAACAAATTATTCAGGATGGTAAAAAACTAAGTAGACTATGAAGAGCTCCAAAAGGATCTTTTCAAATTGAGAAAATGGAAAATGGTTCAGCAGAGAATAAATTTCTAAATGTTAAGAGGTGCATACTGGGGCAAGGAATCTCAGCTAAGCCTGAATATGATCTGAACTGGCTGTAAACTATCCAGGAAAAGAGATAATTAGGCCATAGAGAATGGCTCAATGAAAACATAAAGGCTGTGCTATGGCTGTGGAAAAGGTGAATTCCATGTTAGGTTTTTATTACGAGAAAAACAACATGGTCAATATGACAGCACCTTTGTAAGTCAGGTGTGCAGCTGCATTTTCAATACTGTATGCAATTCTGGCTGCCCCATCTTAGGGCGTAAGAGTGCTTGAAATGGCACAGAGATTTTTCATGAAGAAAAATTAAAGCATTTGGGGCTTTTCAAATTAGGAAAACAAGATTATTTAACAGTGCCATTCTAAACAGTGTAGCATAAAAGGGGGGGGGGTTGATCTCGCTTCGAGACCTCAGCTGTGCACAGTGAAAGGGAGGACAGTTGAAAGAAAATATTGTTTCATTCAACACATGGCTAACTCATGGGATTCATCGTCTCCAGAGGTAGTGGTTTACAGAGCAGCCATAAGCAGGTCTGCTCAGTGGAGCTTACTCCCAGGAAAGTCTTGTGATCATACAATCCTTAGATGCCTTTAGAAGGGCACTATGCAAAATCATGTAGAAGAGGTCTATTGACAGTTGTTAGCCATGACAACCAAATGGACTGTCCTTGTTCTGAGGCAGTCTACCCTACATATCACTTACTTGGGGCTGCTGCCTTCATACTATGTTAGTAGGCTACCTGAAAACAGGATGCTGGACTGATAAGACCCGTTCTGATCGAGTTCTTATGTGCATTGATGCAAATAAGATCCTTGCAAGATACATTTTCCATTAGTACAATTTAGGGTGTGCCCATTGATGGGCAGGAGCTAGCTGGCTCTAGTATCCTCAAGGTAAAGGCTACGATTGCCCAAGGAGCCTTCACAAATTGGAGAGCTAAGTAAGTGGACTAGCAGTCTGATCAAATTCAAGGCAGCCTTGTTTGTTCATAGTTGATATAGTAGTAATTCTTGTCATTTTCCAGATCTGTTAATCTGGCATAATGACCCCTATTAACACACTTAATTGTATTTTTAGGATAATGCTTCTAGGCACATGAGCTAAAGCCCAGAAAGAATCTATTAATCATGTTAATTACTTTAAGCCCTTCTGCACATAGAGCTGGTATGTTCTCAAGATCAAAGTGTGGAGTAGCAACTTTAATGCTTGGAGGCTGTGACAAGGGAACAAGAGAATGTTATCTTTATTTTGGATTAATTTTCCTGACATATACAGCCCTTTGGGGCAAATGAAATGTTGATAAAACGTTCTTCACTGACTTCCTGATGATTCTCAGGTTTTTCTGCATCTTGCATTCTATGTGACCCTCACGCATTCTGTCTCTTACAGAGGGGGGTTAGAAGTTTTGTATCCAGAACTGGGAGATGTTGGCTGTACATATATTCCAAAGTGCAACCAGTACCGAAAGCAGATCTCCAAGGAATGGAGCAGTCCAGATGTCAGATACCAGAAGGCAGATGGGGTAAGACATAAATTGTATCTTCACGTGCAGATATTTATGATGGTGGCAGAGGTGTTTTGAATGTGGATCTATTACAATGATAATGAATCACAGGTTGTCTTACACATTTTTTTTTGGTTAGTAGTGTCTAGTATCAACACTAGTGTAAGCCTTAAAACTTAAAGCCTTAAAAATGCACTGGAATCCTAGAACCCCCACAGCTGTTCAGGAGTCACTGTTTAACATAGTGCACATTGGAACCAAGAATTTGTTTAAAATGGTGTAGTGAATAGAATGGCCCTAGAGAGACTTAAGTCCAGCTCCCACTCAGCCACAGACCTCCCTTCACAGTGCAATTATTTGCAGAGTTACAACAGTCTAACTCTGCAAAGGATTATACGGTGCAAGAAGCCTTGTGCCCATGGCCGTTGTTTGGTCTAGCCCACCTAGGGTTGCCAACAGGAGAAAAATGTCCTGTCTTGTCCTAGTAAAAGCTTAATCTGTTTGAATGGGCAGGAGAAAAATGTCCTGTCTTGTCCTAGTAAAAGCTTAATCTGTTGGAATGGGCATCTGATGCTTTTCATGGCGGGGAGGTAAATAACATCATTTACCTTCATGCAGTGAAAACCATTGTCCTGCCCTGGATGGCCCAGGCTCACCCGATCGCAGAAGCTAAGCAGGGTTGGCCCTGCTTAGTACTTGTATGGGAAACCACCAAGGAAGTCCAGGGTAGCTACACAGAGGCCCCGGTCACACGAGAGGTTTTGGGTCGGGAGAGGGACGGATCGGGGGTGCAGCAAACGGGCGCGATCCCACCACAACATCTGGGAAGCGTTGCAGTCCGTACCCGATCCGGCCCTTCCGCCCAAAACCCCGCACCAAAAAGAAACCACCTACCTGGGTGGTTCATCCGGAAAGGCCGCATCAAGGCCAGGCGTGGGATCGCCGGCGCTTCCTTCCGCCGGTGCATCCCCGGCTCCTGGCCGAACTGCGCATGCTCACACATGCGCAGTTTGGCAGCCTCCCCCTCCCGACCGTCGCTTCCTCCCCGGCATCTGATCGTGCCGGGGAGCAACGGCGCCGCGGCTCAGGGGATCCGTGGGATCCCGCCGCAGCGTCTCTATTTTGGTGTGGCTCAGATTAGTCGCACTTAGGCCGTTGTTTTTCCTGCCGTGTGGCAGGGACCAGAGGCAGGCAATGGCAAACCACCTCTTTTCATCTCTGGCCTTGAAAACCCAAGAGGGTTACCATGTTGATTGTATTTCAACAGCACTTTCCACCACTACTAATGAAAACCATCAGCTGCCCATTTTAACACCTCAAGCCAGTGTCACGTAGTGGTTGGAATGAGATCTGGGAAAGCCAGATGCGAATCCGCACTCTTCATGGAAGCTTGCTGAGTGATCTTGGGCCATTCATATACTCTCATCCTGACCTACCCCACAGGCTTGTTGTGAGGATAAACTGGAGGAGGGGAGAATGACGTAAGTCACTTTGGGTCCCCACTGGGAAGCAGGGCAACTCATAAAGGAAGCAAATCAATAACCTTTTTAAGGGAAGATATTTTTCTCCAGTTCTTTTAGCAGCCCTGGACCTACAAGGTGTACAGATAAGTGTGTGGGGGCAGGGGAGAGAACTATGTATGCATCTTAAGGTCTCTGGAGGACTGGCGAGAGAGAAATGTTATAATTCTTTCTGTATATGCTTTGATCCAGAATTGTGTATCAGCCTAAACTTAAAAAGATGATTGCTAGTGTTGTAGTTGTAACAGCTCCTTTACTGATCATGATGCAACCACGCAACTTCTCTGGCAACTGCATTAGGAAAAGCACCGATCAAGATGCCTCAACATCATACCTGCTTTGCTGATTTCCTAGGCACAACATTTAAATCCATACAAATTTTTCTTGGAACTTTTTTTTTTGGGGGGGGGGATTTGAGGGTCCAGGGGACAGGGAGAGAATGATTGTGGTAGAAACATTTGCTCACAGGAGGAGTGACCCTACTATAGTGGCCTTATTTAAGGTAGGAGGAAAGTGGAGTGTTAGAAATGCTCTGTGGGTGGCTTGGAGAGACAAATATTGCCACCCTAGAAAGATCTCATGTTCTTACTGCTGCAGTCTCTCCTCCCTTATTTACAAAAATCTTCTCTGTGCCTGGAGAGCTGTGTGGTGTGCAGCAGCATCTAGTGACATGGTAATGTATTGCATTGGAAGGCATATGTTGTTCCATCTTAATTATTCTGGGAACAATACAAAGAGCACCTGACCACACACCATCCATAGGGCAAAGTTGGGGTAGTTGCCCAGAGGAATGTGGGGCTTGTGTCAGTGGCCTCACTCAGGCCAAGTTTTTTCTCCCCACTGTCTTCTGTTGTTTTGTTACGTTTATTACTGCCTTCCTGAACAGGGCAGCAGCAGCCTGGTAGTGTGTCTTCCTGCCATCCTGCAGGGACATTCCCCACACCACTGCTGCGTTTCCAGGCCTGGCTATGTTAGAGTGTAGTCCTGAGCAGACTTTTCCTGCCTTCTAAGTCCATGGATGGCAAACAGATTTAGAAGGGTTCAACTTAGTTTGGGATTGTACTGGTTAAAGCAGCAGTGGCTTAGTCCGGTGGACTGATTTGGCAGCACAAGCCTGTGGTCAGTCCAGGAACCTAAACCCAGGTCAGGCTGGGTTAACATGGGTGTAGGAGGGAAAACAGTTGCCTGTTGAAAGAGGAAGGCTTTGTTATCCCATTTTATGTATGGTATTAAGTGTCCTGGGGGGAAATATTTAGTTAAACTTCACAAAACCTAGTAGTGCAATTTGCAGGCTGTATAATGTGGTAAACCATGCAATCTTACATAGAGTTACTCCAGTTTAAGCCCTCTGATTTCTTTGCGTTTAGACTGAAGTACATCTGTATAGGATTGGACTGTAGCAAATAATATTTTGTAGTTCATAGGTTTTATAATTTTTTTGTAGCCTATACAGTATTTGGCACTGCTCAGCTAAAAGGGATGACCTTAGGGAGGGAGCGGGAGGTATTGGACCTTGTCCCAGAACCCCAAAATCCTAGCTGTGCCTCTGAAGGGAATAATCAGTCTGCAAGTTCTTCTGTATAAGCCACCTGTGTTGGGAGAGTCCGAGGCCTGAAACCCTCTGTGGAGGAGGGGAGAAGGGAGGGCAGTTGGGCTGGGGCTGCAGGCTCTGGCAGGGCTTGGGGGCTGGGCAAGACCTGACTCTGGGCCACAGAGGCAAGGCGGTCCCCCAGGATGAAGAAAAAACTGGCGGGCCACGGGAGGATCTGACCGCCTCACCACAAGAGTTAGCAGCAGAGAAAGGACAGTGAGGGCGGTGAGGCAACCACCTCACACGCAGCCAGTCTGAGACCTACAGCATCCCTGGGGTAGGGACAGACATGGCAGCAGTGGCGGGATTGAGCAGGACACAGTGGCTCTCCAGTTTCTCAGGCAAAGGTCTTTCACATTACCTACTGCCAGATCTTTTTTACCTGGAGATGCCAGGGAACCTGGGACCTTCTGCATGCCAAGCAGATGCTCTACCACTGAGCCACAACCCCTCCCTGTTGTTCTGCTTCAGGAGTTGGCTGGGATCAGAGCAACTGGAGCTCTGCAAAAAACAAACGAACAAATCCCCAAAAGAAAAAAAGACACAGAGCTTGCTGGATCCAGCCCTGCATACTCTTTGTCCCAGTCCCCCTAGAGAGCCCACAAATGACACAGAGGGCAAAGCCTCTCCCTGCTGTTGTCACTCAGCAGCTAGTATTCAAAAGCACAGTGCCTCGGAACATGGGGACTCTGTTGAGCTAGGGATGGCTAACAGTCATCAACAGATTGATATTCCATTACTTATCTGATCGCTTTGCACAGCCATCTAAGTTGATTGTTGGAATTCAAAACTCTTTTATAGGCAGTCTGCTTCTCTTGGTCTAAATTTGGCCTTACCTTTTTCCCCAAGTGTGATTTTTCTGTCTTGTGCAGTTATCAACTTATTTCTAACAATATTAAAATTACATTGTATTAACATTATATATAGCCAGGGGTCGTTTCGTAGAAAAAGAGCTAGGGGAACTCATTAGCATAACTCATTAGCATATGCCACACCCCCTGACATCACCGGAAGTGTGTCATAAGGCCACACCCCCTGACATCACCGGAAGTGTGACATAAATACTTGCAGAGTCAACCCTGCTTAGCTTCCAAGATCTGCAGTTCTTGAGCTGATGGGGACCTCTGGACAACCTGGACAGGTGGCACGCTAGTCTTAGTGGACTATACCTCCCCTCAAAAAAACCAGTGCTTTTTAAAAAGTATGATGGCCAATGAGGGGCCCGGCGGTGGACCTGCAAGGCCGGCGGGAGTGCAAGGAAGCCCCGCGAAGGCCCTCCCTGGCCCCAGGCAGGCAGGGGTGGGGAGAGACGGGGAGGAAGCAACTTACCCTCCCTCTTCTCCTGCCTCCTCCTGGCTGAATGAGGGCTGGAAGCGGGGCGGCCGGAAGCAGGGGGCGGGACTTCATCATGTGCCCCACCCCCGCACCTCACCCGGGGGAACTGCGATCCCCCGCGACCCCCCCCGAATCTACCTCTGTATATAGCATTGTGTATGTTTTTAAGCTGTCAGTCACGATCTTGTAAGGTTGCTTTTTATGTATACTGTATGTTACCAATCTATTTTTTTTACAAATAATATTAATAGTTAATGATCTTGTTTTACATGGTTATCCTTGCTGTGTTAAACTTTCTTCTTTAGTTACTTAATGTATATAGTGGCTGTTGCAATATTCTGTAGCAGTGAGTTCCACAAATTCATTATGCACTGTTTGACGATATACTGAGAGCCATTATGGTTTAGGGGTTACAATGTAGGACTAGTACCAAGGATACATGGGTTCAAGTCCTGCACAGTCCTAAAAGCTCCCTGGGTAACCTTGGGCCAGTCAACCCTTCTCAGCTTCACAGGGCTGTTGTGAGGATAAACTTGAAGCTGTCCTGAGTTCCTTGGTGGAAGGGAGGGACG